GTTACTAATTATATTTTAAGTTAGATTTTTTTTTTCTGTTATTCATTTAAAGCATTTTGTACATTTTTGTTTGGATTTGCATTTAAAAATATAGGTCTAAGTGTTTCTTGTTCATCAACAGATTCAAAACAGATGTTGTTTAATTTTTTTTTTTGTTCCTGGGGTCTAGGTGCAAAGATAATCACAGGCCTCTTTTTGGAATTATTTTTATCAAGATAAAGTCATTCTAACCTTTTTAGAAAGTGTTTGCTACTGCTATTAATTATTCTAGCTTTCTTATAAAACATTTCAAGCCCTGTTTTCAAAGGATCTCTTTCATAGATTGCTAGTTAAAAGTTTATCGAACTTAGCACAATGCTCTCTCTCAGGGCATTCTCGCTTGTTGCGAGGGTCTTTAAACTCTGGTAACATGTGCAGATGCAAAGGGGGAAATCTAAGGGCACGAGTCTGGTTGCAATTCTGTCTACATGCATCTCCACGCCTCATTAAGGAAGAAGAATAGAGTTCAAGAATAACATCAAATCTGTCAAGGGAGATATCTTCAACAGTGGGAGAAGATGAAAAGTGTCAGTAATCTGTATAAAGAGTCATGCCGTTGTGTGTTGACTGTTGAATGATCGACGAGTTGAGAAGAAGTAGCAAAGCTCAGGTTTTTAAATGAGAAAACGTTTAGTTTAACGTTTTTGACCCAAAAGAGCCCCAGATATTTCTTTGTAGCCAAGATAATTAAATCGGCAACATCACAGGTGTAGATTTTATCCCGAATAGGGTTTTTGCTGCTCTCCATTACAAGAGTTAATCTGTTTTAAAGATTCCTCCAGGCACCAACAAATAAGATTCTTGACAGGTCTGACTGTCTGGACAGGGTTGAACATGGTGGAAAAACAAACACGTCAACCCGCTCCATTCTGAAGATAATCAATGGTCAAACGCCCAACTTCCAAAGGTATCCAGGACAAAAGCATTGAAATCACTGTGCAGTGATGCAGGCAGTGACGTGCTTTGCTGCAAATGTTGCTTTTGCCACCGTTAAATGTGCTACTTTTTTAGTTTTAAGTCAAACAGACCTGAAATTTCCTTCTACTTTCCATTTTAATGGTTCTAGATATTCTGGAAAATTTTGAAAAGGTGTGGAACTAGATTCAAGTCCCTTTAATTAAATGTTATTTGGAAAAATACAACAGCCTCCGCCCATCTGTAAATATGTGAAACTGATGTGAAAACTGCTGGAAGCCTCTTTGTTACTTGAGCTCCTTGCAGAGATTTGTCAGGGATTAAAAAAAAAAGGTAGTTAAAAGATAGATTTCATTCTGTTTTTTTCCATTTGACTCATTCTTCTAGAGATAAAGTACAGTCATACTCCCATCCCAGATTTCTCTTTTACAATTGTTTCCTTTGGGCTGTCGCTTGCTTGTCTTCCTGGTCCTGCTGAGAGAACCCATTTGAAAACGCTCTTGCTTTCTTTTCTCTCTGCTCAGACAGTGAATGGTAAGATTGGTTGGAATAACTCAAGTGTGTGGGCGACTCCGAAGCCACTGGATGTGTCACAGTCTGAATGAGTGATAACACAGACTGTTCATGCGTGTCCCCATGCAGCCATTCATGCGTGCTTGCAGCCTTCAAACGTTGTACTTTTTGTGCAAGGGTGCAAAATGAAATGCATTAGTTGGCGTAGAAATGGCAGCATGTGTGCGTTCCTCTATGCATGTTTCTGTTAAGAAACCTTTTGCAATACAGCTCATCTGACCCCAAGGCTAAACAGCAGTGTTATGCAGGGTTGCCCTACATTTGTGACAGCTGCGCATGAACTTCAACTTGCATGTTCCAGCTCATCCAGAACTGAAGCTGATGGCTTTCTTGTCCCTAAAGGAACTCAATGATCATTAGGGTGAGGTGGAGAAACCGTAATGTGTAATTCTGTATTGCTTTAGAAAACCATGATTGGGTAAGATTACTTTAACTTACAACAGATTAATGGGAGAACAGAAAGAAATCTCAATGGTCTGTAAACATGCCCTCTGTATTAGTGCACCAATGCCACATCCATTATGGAGCACTTGGTGTTAAACAAATACTAGATGCCTTAGAACATATATTACCTTCATACTGAATGTTTTATTGGGTAGCTTTTAGTTCCTGCGAAGTCTATCAGAAAATGAGTAAACAAGTTGTGAAAGAAAAAAAAAGCCCTTTTTTTTTTTTTATATATATATGTATATGTATATATTTATGCCAGTTTTAGATATATGTTCTGCTGTAACTCATAATTTGACTGTCACAGTGCGTGTTAAAAAGTTTTTCCTGTGATGACATCAAATAGTGCTACAAGATCTCTGTGATGCAGCTTGTGAAACAGAATTGAGAGTTCCTGAAAGCTTAAACAGGCCCATTGATAATAGACGGGCTTAAAACTGAAACCAGGCCGGGGTTACATGTTGATTTGGTTTAGAGTTCGGTCAGTAACTTTATACAATGTCAGTCTAAATACCGTCCAAATTGTCCATTAGTCATTTTCACTCTTAGTTCTATTTAAATGTGGGCATAGCCAGGGCTCTTTCTCTCAGTTGCTATCCAAAATAGGAAAGATAATCTGGATGAGGATCCGTCTTTATTTTGATATGGTGAAGAAGAGGATGTTAGGGAAGAATACTTCCTTAAAATCTGCCAAACTCTCTGTTGGTATCTGGAAGGCTCTGGGCGGTTCATGTCACTGCAATCTGACTATTAGATGTAGCTCAATATTACACACTGTAGCTTTAAAAAGTATATCAAGCATAATAAAAATAATTGCATATAATCATATAAAGAACTTTCCCCCTTTTCTTCCACACCCAATCCGTGTTTAATTATACCTAACGTGTTGGTGTTTTCCTTTGAAATCGGTTATAGGTTTCTTTGTGGGTCACCATTGCGGAGGAGATGGATGAGTTTCATTGACAGATGACGGTGTTATTGACTTTTATTTGTTGCAAGATAAATGATGGCCTGCCTTCTAGAGATGACCTTGATTCTTAGATGAAAATGTGATACGTTGACTTTATTATATTGAGACCTAAAGGGTTGTGTATCATTCTATGCAAAGCTATGGAAAAAATGCCCCTTCTTGCAAATTGTATATTCTTGTAGGATTTTGTTTGTTGCCATAAAACAAATTTGTTGCTACAAGCATGATAGTGTGGGGGATTGTTTTTGAGCCAATAAGTTGATGCAATCAACTGGTTTTCCTTAGATAGAAAACTTTGTATGATCTGGTTTAATTGTAAAGTGCCTTGAGATGACTGTTGTGAAATGGCGCTATATAAATAAGCTGAATTAGATATTTTGTTGGTATCCTTCAACCTGAAAGGGTTAAGAGGTGACTCCTTTGGTTTTAGTGCTCCATTTAAACACACTAAGAGCCTGTGTCCACAAATGGGACCCTAACCTATTAGACAAGGTTAAAGGGTGCGTCTTTAGCTAATCTAGGAGATAAAGAACTGATTTGAAGAACCCCCAAAAAAACATATATTCTGCTATACGGGGTATCTTCTACTTCCTCTGATTGTAGTTAATATAACAAAAATGTGAAAGCTTCAGAAAACAAGGCTAAACTTAAAAAAGAACACAAAGACCCGTCTCACATGAGCAAGAAGACAATGTGTCCCTTATATGTGGTCTAAGTCTAGCACTGCCTCTCAGAAACAGAACATCATACGCATATAGATGAGGCATTGTGACAACCTCGAGCTAATTTGCTGCTTCATTCGGTAAAATTGATAGAACCATGAAGATAGTCATCCTATCAGTGTGCGGCCCTTTTCTTGGCCTATATTTGAATTAAATCATGTGGCATGACTGTAAACAGGTCAATTCAACTTAAAATGCTTCAATGTTGCCTCGTTAAAACAATTCTTCAAAGACCAACTTGCACTAACTTTCCTTGGTTGAGATGTTGAGAAAAAACTTGGTTCCAGTTGCAAAAAACACTGGATGACAGTGGTGGACATCAGGAAGCAAATGCTTTTTCACATAGGAAAAGGCTGAAGTTGAAATTCTTTTACTCCTCCATAAAGAATGAAATCGTCATTTGTAAACTGCTATTAGCTCAGGTTACCTTTTTCTGATTTTGGCATTTGATTAATAGAAATATAGAAGTGAGACAATTACTTCAAATCATGACAAATCCTTTTTCACATACTGTATTTTCTGGAGTATAAGCCAATACTTTTTTCCCCCACGCTTTAACCATGTGGCTTATAAGAAGCTTATAAGTCGTCCAGTGTGACTTACATATGTACGTTTTATATGTATGTTTTGTTTTTTTTTTTCAAAAAATGTAGGCTTATATTGAGGCTCATATTTATATTGAGGTGCGCTCTATAGTCTGTAAAATACGGTAATTAAATTCACACTTTGGATTGATGGTCGCCCCAGCTTGATTTAAAGTTTATTCTTCTTCAGTCTTTGTCCTGGTTAAGTATTAAGTCCCTGTCCATAACACTGTGTTTGCAGGTGTAATTCGTTCATAGGAAACTCTGCTGTACCGAAGAAGCCTCAGTCCAAGCCCAAGAAGCCCCACCTGTCTGGTCACAAAGGAGGCAGCAGCTCCAGAGAGCCGCAACCCAAACGTCTGGAGGAGGTTTACACGGCACTCAAACAGGGCTTGGAGTGAGTAACTCACCATTTCATGTTCACTATTTAACGTCCTAACATTGTTGACAATTTCATTAGCTTTATTTCACTTATTTCCTTTAAGAAGATCCTTGATGAATTTAGATTGTAATCATGTTTTCTTTTTCATGCTGCTTAGTGAATATCTTGAAGTCCATCAAACAGAGCTGGATAAACTCACATCTCTAATGAAAGACATGAAGAGGAACTCTCGCTTGGTGAGATTCATGAAAAGATTTTGAACACAGATAAAAATCTTAAGAAATATTCAAATATATATATATATATATATATATCTTGACTATACTCTTTCAAAGCATTGTTTAACATGTTTCTTTTCGTTATTTCCCAGGGAGTGCTGTATGATCTCGACAAGGTAAGTCAATGAAACTTGGGTTTTACTATGTGAAGATAAGATGACGTTTGAATTTGGTTTAGTGTAGAATGGAGCCAGGTTTTTAGTGTGGGTTTTTGCACAATTCGGGTATAGAATAAAAAAGAAACAACACATAAAATACATTGAACAAATTGGAAAGAAATTTAGCAGAGGAGCAACAGGTGAGTGTCAGCTCAATATTTTATCTAAATGTGTTTTGTATACAGTGTATAAAATTTAGTCCATTTATATGACATGAATGAATTGAAGTTTAAACTGTTCCATGTTCCATTAAAGGGTTATATTTACACTTTTATTTATACTTACACAAACACTTGCCTTTAACATTTACCGTACCTTGAGACCAATTTAACAACTAAAACCTGTGGTCTTCCACCCATAATTATGATTGTAGTAAATAAAACAAATAAGGGGCGTGCAGGTGGTGCAGTGGTTAGTGCTCACAACCCATCTAAGGAGGCCTTAGTCCGGGTCTCGAACCCGGGTTCGAATCCGGCCTGTGGTGCTTTGCCGCATGTCTCTCCCACTCTCTCATTCCCCCTTTCCTGTCAGCCTACGGTCAGAAAAATTAGCCACTAGTGCCGTAAAAAAAAAAATAAAATAAATAAAACAAATAAAAAATGTATTAGTATTGCACATTCAGCAGCAAGGAAATTCAAAGTGCTTTACATGTTAAAACCAGAACAGAGAGATTTTCTTGGAGTTTGTTCCTGATTTAAAGCTGCGTTTAACCTTAAAGCTGTTTCTCTATTGAATCTACTCTCAATCATAAAATATTGACTTGAGTTTAGATGCATTTGTCAATATTAGCAAAGCAGCTACATTTTAGCTACTGATTGAAATTGACCAGTTTTGCTTTGATCAAAGAACTCGGATCAGACAACAGAGGGGAATATTTGCTCCTCAAATCCAGCAGCAGCTTATAAACCATTAGCTGTAGAGCCATTTTCATTGCAAGCTAATCGTTTTAAATGCCAATACTTAATTTATAACAACCCCACCTCACCGGGAGGCTCCAGTAGTCAAGATGTGTTCCTGTTTTCTGCTTCACCTGTTAGTGTTCATAAAGTTATGATTAAGTGGTATATTTTAATCAGCATTTTTGGATCTATAAAGTTCATGCTGCCATATTGTTTAAAGCTCTGCTGTGGGGTTTTTTTTTCTGCAGCAAATCAAGAGCATTGAAAGGTATATGAGACGCCTCGAGTTCCACATCAGCAAGGTAAGGATTTAGTAAACGTCGTAAGTCAATTGTTTTAAAAGTGTCACAGAAATAAAAACGATTGCAACGATGTTTGCTGTAATAAGGAAAGAAATAAAGGTTAAAAATGGTAATAATTGATTAAATAATGCTGTTGCCTCAATGTTTTTGATTAGACTTGGTTAGCCCCCATATAATAAATGAAATGACAGCAAAAGTTTTAATAGCACCAACTATGAAACCAACTTGTTGTTTCTCTGTTTTTTGATTGGTTTTATGAAATTATCAAAAGTATGTGTTTTGGAATAACTTAAGAGTTGACAAACAAGCTTGTTTGTGTGGCTTCCACTGTTAACTTTTTTTTCCTTTGCCCCAAGCTAAATAAAACTTTCTGTGGATGTAAAGTATCTTGTGCATTAAAAAAACATGATTCCTTTTATTTTTATTATTTTTATATGCTAAATTCCCCTTAACTATAAGTTCTATTTTGTTAAAAACTGATAAACTAGTTAACTAGCACCTATATTTGAAATTAACAAAAGCAATAACAATTGCTATAGAATATCTTCTTTTTTAGATGATTAAACCCTTAAATTGCTAAACTTGGTAGACAGAAAAAGGCAAAAAAAAACCCAAAAAACTGTATCTTTTTGTTTTTCTACTTTTCAAGACCTTATATAAATTCCTTTTCTGGTTCATTGAATGCTTTTCCTTCATTTTCTTTCAAATGTTTTTTCCATAGAGTGATAACAGTGACGTTCCATAAGTACTCTGCAGGATAGAGACATCTGTTCATTCTGTTTTTGCAGCTTGCTCTTTACATTACTTTTAAGAAAAGCTTCTTTTTTTATTCTTGTGTGATATTTGACAAAATTGTCAGAATCTTGAATGTGGTTGGTTACTGCACTGACAAACACTGCAGAGTTTAGAAGGTTGTTCTATAAAACATATAAAGCTTTGTTATTAATCCAGGCTGACCTATTAAGTCAGAATTGGGCGCCTTAGTCTGACTTTTCCAAACAAATTTTATGAAATATTCCTCATGAGTTCTGAACTTGAGTTCTTATGACACATAAATTCTTTGGGCCATGAAGAATTTTGATCAGGTTTTTTCATAGTTTGGTATAAAACATGTGTTTGCATGTAATGGACAACTCCCATTAAATAAAAAGCAGCAAAAAAAAAAAAAACCCACCATACATATTTCCTAGAGTGTTTTGATTTGGACCAAAAGCTAATGTGATTCTGGAAGTTTTCTTGGACTTATTAATTTATTATTATTTCTCAATATCTGTTATAAAAATACATTTCCTGCTGTTTGAATTGTTTTTGCAAAAAGGAATCTGATTTATTTTCTTTAATACCTTCTTTTGAAGTCTTCTCACAGGCTCCCAGTAAGGGACCATAATCCCCACATTTTTTTGTAGACTCTACAAGCTTGCAAGGCTCTTTGACTTTTCTTCCACATCCTCTTTTATAGTCCAGCGCGGCTTGCTGGGCATCAAATCAGAACTGACAGCAGGTTATCAGAGCATGCTCTCCAAAACAACTGCACAGATCTAAAAGGTAACCATGGATACATGAAGACAGCCTTTTGAAGTCAGATCAGGAATTCAAGGAAACCATTTAACTGGTACATTAACCCTTTATAGTCGTACACACCCCTATCGGACAATAAAAACTTACGTTTTGTCTAGAAACACAGCTTTAAAACAGAATGGTTAGCTTGATGGTTGGTTTGAGGTTGGATGGTGAAATAGAGGTAGTGTCATGGCTAATTTTTATTGCAAAGCTTTTATAGGAGGGTAATACGTTGGTTTAGGTGTGAATCAGCCGGTATTTAAAGATGGAAAAAGTAAATAAAAGAAGATACAGATGAAATTAAATATTTCAGTCATTTATACTTGCCATTGTCTTAAAATATATGAACAATTTCTGCAGTGAGCTGTCTTTTATGCCGCTAACAAAAGAAAAGAAAACAAAAAAAATGTATTCAATGCCTGCTCTTTCTTATAAAAATGTCACAGGATGCTTTTAAGCAACCAAATTCTCAAAGTTTCAGCTTGAGAAACAGATTTATTTTGACAACCCTATGTTTTGCAGACTCGGAACAGAAATAGATTCAAATATAGCTGTAAATATTTGGGAAAGCAAAGAATTGTCTGATTTATCTTGTCAGGCAGGGAAGCAGTCTCAGTCTCTCTCTGTCAGTTAGATTTACCTCCAACTGTGTTCTTCTTTTTCGCTTGCAGACATAATATCAGCAGCATGTTCACTGATGTCTTCTGCAGTGTCATTACTGACTCGCTGGGCTTTGTCTAATTTTACAAAAGTTTTCCTTAAATTCAAATAACTTTAAAATGGCTCTTATTCCCCGAGGTAGAGAACACTATAAAAATGGGATAAAGTTTGAATTTGATTAGGAAGGTCCCATAGAGATTAAGAAACTCTTATTTTTTAGTGACCGCTGGCCACGATGGCTATAAAGCACTTCATATGGAAGCATTACCAGAAGTAAAACAATTAAATAATAAAAAAGTATTAAAACAATGTAAATGTGAAACCCTTCTGTTAATCAGAGCTTTATAAAGTAATTGACTGTTTAAATCAGAGCTGTTAGAAGAAGACCCTTGACAAATATATAAACTATGTTGTTTATACAAACCATATTTAAGTTAAGACGAAATGTCAGTTTTGCTTAAATTGCTGTAGTAACTTAATTAGAAGGACCAGATAAACTGGTTTACATTTAGCATGTAAACATGCTAACATGTTTTCATAGTCTGAAACATAAAGCAGCTTCTTTGCACCTTTTCATTATGCAATGCAGAATTTAAATATGCATCTCCTTACTGCTAATGTTTCTTATTTTAATCTTAAGATTGCATTTTTTTAAAGAGTCTGTAGATTATCCTCTACTGTTAAAGAAATTAAGATTTCTCACTAAACTCTAAAACCTTTTTTACTGCCCTTCACTTTCCTACGTAGGTTAAATGCTGAGTTCCATCTCTTCATCCAAACTCTGTAGAATACACTGCAAAGGACCAGTTTAAGTATAACTGCAAGATAGTTTTTACTAGCATCACTAAAGTCTGAGTGATGCTGCTTTTTCTAGTGTTTTATTAAAAATTTTTATTTCACAAATAAAAGTTAAGTTTTTGTAAACTGAAGTTCAAAGTATAAATTTATATAACTACAATAAGTGAGTAAATGAGACTAGTTACTTTCTCCCCCTGGTGCTTTGTAACTCAAAGGGCTGGAATCCACCCAACTAGAGGAAGAACTAAAAATATATAGAATAAGGCAATCAAAAACTGGACAAAGAATAACAGAAAAGGTGAGAGGACGAAGTAAAGAAGATGGTTTCCTAGTATGAAAAAGATGGATAACTGGAAGAAGGATTAGAAATGTGGAAAAAAATAATTTCAACAATAAGCACTTGATTATAAACTTGGTGAAATATAGAAGCAAAATACATAGAATTGTGGCGGGTGTGTGGAGAGTTAAATAGTACAACATATAATACAACGGGTAATATCCTGTGCTTGTGTAGTGCTGCATCAAGGACTTCAAATTGCTTCAGACCAGAGGGAGTCTCAATCAGCACTAAGTCCTTATCTATTAGCAAGGCTGCTGTAATGGTAAAAAATGTTCCTTGTGAGATAAATAAATCTATTCTTCGTTTTTAATTCAATCCGTTTTATCAAACATCCTCTGCTCCTTTTCCCCGGACTGTTAGGAGCTATTCTGACCTCCTTGTCTATCTGTTCCTCCTCTGCTTTGCACCCTCAGTAGGACTGCTTCATCTGATGTTGGCGGTCCTGGTTTCCCAGTCCGCCATACTAGTAATCAACATGTGTGTTATTTTAGCATATTTTTCTGTGCCCACTTGGTGTCTCTCAAGTTATTATTTAAATTCCAATTGCCAATGATAAAGAAACGAACTAATTCTCGTAGTCTGTTGACGCCTCTCAACAATAAAATTGTGGCTCATCCAAAGCCTTTTCCTATGTCTCCTAACTGCGTGACTGACTGTGTCATCTGCATATACACGTATCTTGGTTGCTCTTAGCCCCTGTTCCAACTTGTTAGCTGTGTTTCCATTCAAATGTGATTCGACTTTTGAGTGAAATTGTAAAAATCTATATTTCCTTCCTTTGGAGCAAATTAATGAGGTGATACAAAGCGTAATGAGAGTAGAGTTTCACAGGTGAAATGTGTATTTCTTATTTTTGATAAATTGTTAATAGATCTGCCTTTTAACTAATGATTTTACAATATGCATAACCAGAAGCAGTGATGCAACATCCTACTTTATTTTAGTTTTTAACAGACTGGAAGAAAGTGATGTTTAAGTATCAGATAAAAGTAACTTTAAGAGAGATGATCAGAATCAGAAATACTTTAATAATCCCAGAGGGAAA